TGGATTTGGGGCGGTTGCACACGATGGGCGGCCCTTGGAAAGCATGGCTTATCTGACTGCGGATGACGTTGTTCCACACCAGTCTCTCGCTGGTAGTATGACGAGTCCGAGCGATTATTCTGGTGTTTCTAAAAGTGCTACTGGGTCTCCATTGGGCACTCCTGGGTGGGACCAGGGATCTGGAGGCTTCCATGCCGAGAAGCGGCCACCGCCGACCTCGAGTCCCGCTGCAACACCTCAAGGAGAGGGATACTTTAGTTCAAGGCAAAGACCAGTGCCTGCGCGACACGAAACATTTGGCGGCATAGGTACCTCACGGGCAAGAACAAGTTCAAAAGACACTTCTCCTGCTGAGAAGCGAAGTATACGAGTCAGCGGTTCTTTCCCTACACAAGAGGGTCCAGAGCAAAACTCGGCTGCCGATAATAAAGCAACCCGTACTTCTTCTGACGAATCGACTGGCGGTTTGACCAAAAAGTCGAGTCAGGTTGACGCTCCAGATGTCAGTATAGATACTCTGGATCCTACCAACAATGACAATACAGCTGAAGCTTTGGCTGACTCTACGAAGACCGGAGGTGGCACTCGACAAGGGCACAGCATGCTTCATTCATATGGTGCAGATTTTGCTTCCACCTTCCAATCTCTTCCGCCTAGCTCTACACTCTCAGCTAGACCGACACCCGTTTCTGCACCTTCTCGGAGTGGCGCATTGACTACTACAGCTGTCGATATGCCGCCGCCTTCGGACAGACTCAAAGGACTGATTTTAGATTCCCTACCCGCGCATGTGTTCGTCGCACTTCCACAGACCGGAGAAATTGTCTGGGTCAACAGCCGTTATCTTTCGTACCGAGGCCAGACAGCCACCGACCTTGCCGCAGACCCATGGGGTAGTCTTCACCCTGATGACCGAGACGACTACTTAAAAGCATGGGGCCATTCTATTCGCACAGGCGAACAATTTTCGAGGACTGTTCGAATTAAGCGATTCGACGGCGCTTATAGGTGGTTTTATGCTAGAGCAGTTGCCTCAAAGGATAAGAGAGGGGTTATCATGCAATTTCTTGGATCGTACATGGATATACACGATCAGCACATTGCTGAGCTGAAAGCGGCGCGACAAGAGGAGATTGAGGCATCGGAGGCTAAACACAGATTACTTGCCAACCTCATCCCTCAGATCATCTTCACAGCGACCGAAGACGAAGGAATCACTTTTGCCAATGAACAGTGGCTCTCGTATACAGGGCAAAGCTTCTCTGACTCCCTCGGATTGGGTTTCATGGACTTTGTACATCCGGACGATCTTGCTAAATGCCGAATTCCCTCTACCCAACCTTCAACCCCTGGCGGAATACGACGTGAGGGCCATAGCAAGATATACCGGCAGGGATCTGCACAGTCCGAGGCGGCGTCAACTGCCACCATTCAACCTCCAAAATCCCATACACCTCGAGACTCGCCCCTCCGTAATGTGCAGCAGGCCCTGTCGCGGAACAACAGCTCTAGCAGCAGTTCAGCGTACAATTGGCCTGCTGCAGACTTGACTGAACTGGCTCGAAAGGGAATAATCAAAGTGGCGACTGATAGCGCTGGTCGAGTTTCATACACAACTGAGGTTCGATTACTGTCCAAGACTGGAGAATACCGTTGGCATCTGATCCGATGCGTTGAGATTGACACTATTGATTTCGGCAGTGGTGCTAGCTCCTACTTTGGATCTGCGACAGACATCAACGACCACAAGCTTCTTGAGACCAAGCTCAAGGAGGCCATGGAAACCAAGGGAAGGTTCCTGAGCAACATGTCCCACGAGATTCGTACTCCCTTGATCGGAATTTCGGGCATGGTGAGCTTCTTACAGGATACTACTCTGAATGAAGAGCAGCTCGACTACACCAACACCATACAGACCAGTGCCAACAGCTTGATCATGATTATCAATGATATTCTAGATCTATCTAAGGTCGACGCTGGCATGATGAAACTAAAGTACGAATGGTTTCATACCAGGTCCATCATCGAAGACGTGAACGAGCTTGTTTCTACAATGGCCATTGCAAAACGACTGGAGTTGAACTATCTCGTTGAGGCTGATGTACCTGCATGGGTCAAGGGCGACAAGGTGCGAATTCGCCAAGTTCTCCTCAACGTCACTGGCAACGCCATCAAATTCACCTCAGAGGGCGAAGTCTTCAGTCGATGCCGTGTTTACGTCGCGGAGGGTTCCCATGTCGACGAGAATGAGATCATGCTGGAGTTTTCTGTGACTGATACAGGTCGCGGATTCTCGAAGGAGGAGGCGGAGTTGATCTTCAAACCTTTTAGTCAGATCGATGGAAGTAGCACCCGGCAACACGGTGGGAGTGGACTGGGCCTCGTCATTTCTAGACAGCTTGCTGAGCTACATGGCGGTAGCATGACGGGACGCGCAACGCTAGGCAAAGGCTCTACCTTTACCTTCACAGCGCGATTTGGCCTTCCTACAGCCGATGATCACCCTAACTTGCCTGATAGCCCTCCTGCTACTGGTGCTTTCACGCCTAGACCGGAGATGGTTGATAATGTTCCCAGCACTATCAAGCCTCTCCCTCCGCCAAAACATTTACGCAACGCCGAAGGCGCTAGCCCTGGAGGCACAACCTCAGAGTTCACGTCACCTGGAGGCCTTTCTGTTGGTAGCTCCAACCCGTCTGTCCGTTCAGCTAAGTCGCAGGTCACCGACCGATCCTCTGCAACATCTGTCACCGGTGGTCTGGCCCGATTTAGCGAGGCGGCTAAAGCTAGTGGGCAAGACTTGTCTCAGATGAAGCTGGAGATGCCCTCAGGGCGCAGCTCTCCTGGTACTCATCTCTTACCTGGCAGTGGCTCACCTGAGGACTTCCGACCACCCATGTACTCAATCCTCATCATCTGCCCGCAGTTCCATAGTCGCGAGGCCACTACTCAGCATATTGAGATGACTCTACCAAAGGATGTACCCCATCAGATCACAGCCTTGGCAAGCGTGAATGAGGCACAGACATTGATTGGTGGTGAGGATCCTATCAAGTTCACACATATTGTCATCAACCTTCCCTCTGCTGAGGCCATCATTGGTCTTATGGATGACATTACAAAATCACAAACAATCGATAAGACGACTATTCTCGTGCTGTCAGATTCGGTGCAACGACAAGCTGTCATCAAGTTGGCGGCCAACACTAAATACGAGCAGCTCCTCTCAGATAACATGGTGACTTTTATCTACAAACCTGTGAAGCCGTCTCGATTTGCTGTCATATTCGATCCAAACAAGATGCGTGATCTTAGCATAGATCGTAATCGCTCTACGGCGCAGCAAATGGTCGAGAATCAGAAGGCTAGCTACCAGGAGATTGAACGGCGCATGGGCAACAAGGGCTACAAGGTGCTCCTGGTCGAGGACAATCCTGTCAATCAGAAGGTTCTCATGAAGTACCTCAAGAAGATTGGGGTTGACGTCGAGATTGCCGTTGATGGCGCAGAGTGCACTAACATGGTTTTGTCAAAGCCACATAAGCACTATTCGTTGATTTTGGTATGTTACTCTATGCCATAGTCTCCAGTCTCCAATGAGGATTCTAATAACTGACACATAAATCTTAGTGTGATCTACATATGCCACGAAAAGACGGCTACCAAGCGTGCCGCGAGATTCGGCAGTGGGAAATGGCCAATACTTTCCCTCCGATGCCTATTATCGCCTTGTCAGCCAACGTCATGTCAGACGTTCAGGATAAATGTGTCGCAGCGGGATTCAGCGACTACGTTACGAAGCCAGTCGACTTCATCGATCTCAGCAGAGCTATGTCGAAGTTCTTTTGATCACAACACTCTTACCAGTCTCCTCCTCTCAAGCAATTCTGGCGCACAGTCACACCTCTGCCCCTTCTTCTTTTTGGACCTTTTACATTCGATGACTGTTCACGATTTCCCTCCTCCGTTCATAATGATACTACGGTAGCTTCTATTTTAGACCAGACAGATCTATGTAGGGCCACCATGGTCTTCTACTGCCAAGCTAGGCCGTGTTGCAGCTCAATAGGGCCGGCATAGGTCGAGGTACCTGGCAAATGACCTTATTTCTATTGGCATAGTTTACTTCTGGGCTATATGACTTTTATACCAACAACAATTTTCCTGCCTCGGTCAGGCAAATTGTCTTCTGCATGTTGCTGGATGCCACCTATCGCATTGGCGCAGGGTTTATAATGGGTACTGGCGATCTTTCACGCGCCTGTTGTCTGTTTTGTTTCACTTTTCACTCACCTGGGTTGATTGATCCGAGGGGGTTCCGGGAGGGCTCGAAGACTGGATATGGCGTCAAGGGGGGTTCTGTTTGCATTGTTCATGTCTTGCTACCACGGCCTGATTAAATGATTCATTTTGCCATATGGGTCAAATGCACGTTAGCCAATGCGGCAGGTACAATGAGGATATACATTTTTGTTTTTCTGGTAATGTTTTTGGCGAAGAGTATGGGTTATGCATGAAAAATGGACGAGCAGGATAGGTTGAATCTCTTCAACATTGCTCGATATTCATTTATATTTAGATAGACGGACGCCGCGGGAAAAGAGGTGGCGGCGGGGCATTTCCAACACGGTGCTATACAATATTCAGGACGAGGCAAAAATGAAGAACTCAATCTAAATTATACTCATTTCAAGAACAATTTTGCGTGATCAGAACGTCTGAAAATGGAGGGACAAACATGTTATTTTGCGATGTTAAACTAACACAAGCGCTATCATGGCCCCCCCCCCCCAAATAGCTCAATCTCAAAACCATGCCAGCATAGTTGGTCATTCTATCCATTGCTTTTCCGTAATCCGTTCCAAAATCGTACGTCATTAAAATAAAGACATGAAAATCATCAAAACAATTTGCCTCGCCTTGGCGGGCTGGTATCCGCGGTTCCCATGAAGTTCGAGTCATAAGAGAGTGAGAATGCACCCATCCAAGTTAGAATATGATCAGTAAACACTGCCCCGAATACTTCGATCCTCCTTCTCAGCGCGATCCAAATCCTCGACAAGTTCAGCGTCACCGTCACAAGAGGCATCGGTAGATGCATCACCAAGACGGTTAGTCCTTGCATATTCATCCGGGCTATCCTTATCGCTCGTGTATGCTAGATGTTCGGGACCGGCTTTGAGGAGGGGTTTCTGATTGTATGAAGGCTTCTCGCTTCTTTCGCCAACGGTCCTGTTTAGTTGCGCGTTCAAGGAGGCAATACGGTGTAAGCTTATGTTCTCATCCTCTGACGAGTCGTTATCAGTCTCGGCAGCAGATGTGTGGCCAGAATAGCTACCACCCCCATCGCGGCCAATATGCAAGTACGGCGACTGGATATACTCGCTGGCAGAGATGACTGAGGGGGTATCATTGAGGTCAGAAACGGATTTGCCTTCATGGTTTGATGAAATGTCGATCTCTGGTCCATCATCATGAGCTCCGAGGTTGGTGCTCTCAATATTCGTGCCGATGCAGTCTAATTGAGCCTTCTGCTTCCGGCTGACGATGGATATGATCTCGTCTGGGTTTGTAATTTTGCCGTAAGGCTCTGGCCCGCCGTTCTCATGATCCTTTTTGCGCATGATCTCCAAATCCTCACGCTTAGCATAGTGGCGACTATGGTCACAGCCATTGGGACATCCACCCCATCGGCGTGTAACAACAAAAGTTTTGGTGCGTGGGAGTTTCGAGCTGTCCTTGTCCTTGTCCTCTTTATCTTTTCGTTCTCGCCGCAGATCGGACCAGGTTCGCAGCTTGTTCTCTAGAAGGTACTTATTGTTTTCCTGCTTGCGCATGATGAGGAACTCGCAGTGGTTGATGTTTCGGAGATCTTCAAAGTACTCGACAGTGAAATGATACCATTTCATGAGAAAGACACGGGACATGAGTCCGTGAGTCACTATCAAATTTACTGTCAGTAAAGGCGCAAAGCTGGTTGGTGAAATACGTACCCAGTACACAGACGCTCGGGAAATCATCTTCGCCAAATTGTCGCCAGAGACTCTCATTGAATCCGCTCACACGATCGTAAGCATCAGCAGCGCTCTCTCCATTGGGTATACGATAGAAGAAGTGGCCATAATCGGCCCTCTCTTGCCACATACGCTCCATTTCGGCGCTGCATGGTTGGAAGTTACCAAAATCCTGCTCACGTAGCCGAGGTTCTTCGTACACCTTGATGTTAGCTCGGCGGAAGGGCGACGGGGAGCCTTCGTCCGAGGTCAGGCTCTCGAGGATTCCTTCTGTTGTTTCACGTGTGCGGCGGTATGGAGAGGTAAAGAACTGTAAGGTATCGTCGGGACGAAGCAGGCTTCGGAGACGACGTCCGGCATCGTGGGCTTGGTTCCAACCCTCTGGCGTAAGTTTGACTCGGTGATCGGGAACGGTCTGGTGAATTTCTCGGTTCTCTGTATAAATGTCAGCACGTGTTGAACAATGAGGGACAAAAAATCCAGAGCATTAACGTACTATTGCCTTCGGACTGGCCGTGGCGAACTAAAATGATCAAGCGTGGCTTGGTCATGATGCTTTGGGGATGTGATATAGAGGGGTAGTCTTTAAGTGACTGAGCGTGTCTCTGATCAGTCGAAGGGGGAGTTTGATATTTTGGGTCCTGAGCGTATTCACAGTAGGTGTATAAGTTGAATGGAGGTTTTCAAGCTGTGAGACAGGTTGGGCCAAGACGGGATAGAATATGGCGGAGTAGGGGATAGATAGTTCTGCAATTGGTCAGCCAAAGCATAGGCAGGAGTCACCAATTATGAATCCTAAAAGAGAAAGGGATGGAAGTTTGGAAGAAAGAGAAGGAGCTAAGTGTCATAAAAAACAAACGAAGAAAAGCTGGAGGAAGATGAAGCGTGGATTGCAACGTCTTTTTTTAGTGAGGCTTGTCTAATCCCGTCGTCGTTGGCTCAAGCTCATGAGACATCCTGACCTGAAGCATCAGAGTGAGGGCAAGTGCAAGCCCATGCCATGCAACCATGTTTCCGAAAAAAAAAACGCCCCGCCAAAATGCCGGGATAACCCCCCACCACCACCTCAGCCTAGCTGGAGGGAAGTAGGGAAGGATGTGTGCGCCTACCTACTTATCTACTTGGGGACCACGTATCGCGTACCCTGAACCTTCCATTTGAGCGGAGAGGTGGCCTAGGCGGCGCGGGCAAACGGGAGGAGATTCCAAGGGTGCTGTACTTTCGAGGTAGGTACCAGCACCCTCGTTTGGGGGCCGGAGCCGCCCCGCCATCTGTCGACCGAAACAGAAAAACAGCTTCTCAGTCGTCAACGGTCAAGCCTCCAAGCACACAATGATTGACCAATGACATTGGAGGCCATATTCAAGCTGATCATCACACAGAGACAGAAACAGCCCATAAGAGTTCTTGGTAGATGGACTAGCCTCAACCAAATCTTTCCGAATCCCTGCTAATATTACGAATGAAGCAAAGGCACAAGGGGCAGCTCCCCTCCCCATGGCACGATCTGGAGGAGGGGCCCGCAAACGGTTCTTGGTAAAAAGTGAAATGGTGCTGGGACAATCTGGCGATACAAGTCCGAAGACTGATACGATTCGGTGCTTGACCTGTTCATGACCTTGAGTTGTTCCGCCCGCGGACGGACATCGCATGGCGGCGGACGATATCCGCTGATATCAAATCATATGATTTACCATTCCCGTACCCTTGAAAGCAACTTGGTCCTTTTTTTGCTCTCCCTTGTCAAAGATACTGAGAATCTGGCAATCTGGTGTTGGTTAGCCAATCCTGGAGATCTGCAGAGCCAGATTGAGTAATCCCGGCCACTGTAGCAGACAGTTTAGTCATGACGGCACCCAAAGTTCATGTTCATGCCTCTCCCATGCATACTTCTCGTTTTCTTTCGGCCCTCCCGTGGACATGATCATGATTAATCTCGTGGTGTTTATCCATTTTCCGCCGGCTAATCACCATCTATCGGATCTTGACGGCCCCTTGTTTGTCTTGGACCATCTGGATTCAATCTCATCACCTGAAGAATGACGGCTATAGCGGAGACACGGTGAGGTGATGTGGCCTGCAACGGGAAGCGCCCAGCCGCCCATTGCAACATCGTATATCTGGATAAAGTCACCCAGAGACGATCTGATACTAACTCTGACCAGTGGCTTTTGTCTTGCATTTTCCCCTTCTGCTCCCGCCTGCAGTACTGATGCATTCTGCAACGAAGATAGTTGCCTTTCCTGACTGCAATCAATCACATGTTCATCACGCAGAGTAGCTTTGTGGCTTGCTGACGCGGCTTGGAACTTTCTTGTGCCTGAGATGTCAATTCAACTGCCGCGCGCTTATCAGGCGACCCTCAGACACCCATTCCGGTGTGATCAACTCCCCCCAGCGGCTACTTAGGCTAATTCTTGGTAACCTTGCCAGGGGGGAAGAAAACACAGGGCCTTGAACCTAAATGACAAAAGGATTCAGGTAACTTACTATAGGCTTAGGATACCCTTTGCTGAGACTATTTTGTCAACCTATATTAAGGTCTGATACTTTTCTTGCTCCCCGATGGCCTTGTACGTACTCAAATCAACGCCACTCTCATCAGATCCTGGCTGGCATCCACTATCTTCGATTTATCCTACCCATCAAATAAACCAACACAACCATCTAGCATCTGCCGGCCATTGCTCTCTTCACGTGCCAAACATCTGACCGCTCCCATTCAGAGGTTCTTGTCTCAATCAATCAATCATTCAACGGACTTCAATTCACCCGACGATCCTCTGCCTATTCAGGCTATCTACCGCGCCCGTCGACGTCTCATTCTCACGCGTGCCTCAGCCCATTTTCATCTTACCTTAGATCAGGCATCGGATAACCAACTTCTCCCCTTTCTTTCCAGAATGTCTGCTCCTGGTCCCGAATCGGTACCAACGTCGGCCGATCCCCGATCCCATCGCCCTACCAAGAAGCGCGCTCTTACGCCCGTCTCAGCGCAAGCCGCCTCGGTAGAGGCTCTCTTCTCAAAGCCTGACCAAATCATCCGTATCCCCGAGTCCTCTACCTCCGGCTCCGGCAGTTCCGTCTTGCGTTCCGCCCCTCCTGAAATTGTCACCAATGTTCAAGGATCTAGTGCAGGTGCCGGATCAGGCGAGTTTCATGTGTATAAAGCAAGCCGTCGGCGCGAGTATGAGCGTCTTCGCAGTATGGATGAGGATCTCCGCCGCGAAAAGGATATTGAAGAGTTTAACAAGGATAAGACTGAACGCGATCGAAAAGACGAAGAACGCACGCGCAAGAATCGCGAAAAGAGGGAGAAGATGAAGGCCCGCAAGTCTAAGAAGGGCAAGGGCCCTGCCACGAGTGACAAGACGCCCAACGCGACACAGTCCAAAGATGCTTCCTCACTCGCGGAAAACGATGCTGAGAAGGACACTGCTGATGTTGATTCTCAGACCAAGACTGAGCATCGTGGGAACGATACGGAATCAACGCCATCGATACAGCCTACAGGATTAGTCATTCACGACGAAGATGACTAAACAAAAAGGAATGCAAAAGGCCAGCAGCCGAAGAAGTCGCGCCCTGTTGCACCGAAGCGGCAGGGGCGAGAAGGCCGCTTTATCGGAATCAGACTTGAGACCTAGATCATAGGAGGAGAATGGCTCGCAAGGGCATCGTAAGTAGACACAACAGGATTCCTCAAACAGGTAATTTTATATGATACCCATTTCTTTCCTTTGAGAAGAGTCACCGGAGCTATGTCATGCTCGCTCCGACGCCCACTGTGTTCATAATTTCCTTGTTTGTCTATTTTGCTCTTTCGGCTAGTACAGAGGGGTATGACCAGTCCATCCAAACAGACATTCGTATAAGCAGTCCGAAATACACGCCTGCCTAGCCCACTATCGCTCACTCACATACAGACACATCAGAATTGTCGTCTACAAACATGCTGTTTGTCTTTATTCTTCACCACCCCCGCCGCCACCAATCTGCGCAGCTTTCTTGGCACTGCAAATATCATCAACTCGGAGCAAAAGGCAAGCAGCCTGTTCAGATCGTCAGTATCCTGTTCTGTAGTTGTAAATGACAGGGAACGTCGTGAAATGCTTACCTCAATGGCGGTCTTGATACTCTGCAGCTTGATAGCCTGAGGCTCCCACACTCCGTACTCTTTCATATCTGCAATGGCACCTGTATCACCATTGACACCCCAGGTGCTCTTACCCTCGGCCTGCTTGGCTCGGAGATCTGTCAACACACGGACAGGGCTCTTACCAGCATTCTGAACGAGAGTACGAGGAATAACCTCAAGAGCATCTGCTACAGCCTTGTAGGGCCACTGCTGGACACCCTCAATACTCTTGGCGAGTTGCCCCAACCTCACGGATACGGCCATCTCCGTAGCACCACCTCCAGGCGATAACCGAGGAGAGAACATAACATTTCGTGCGACACCCATGGCATCCTGGAGGTTTCGCTCGATCTCGTTGAGAACATCCTTGGAGGGACCTCGGAGAAGGACTGTGCAGGCCTTAGGGTCCTGGCACTTGGTAAGGAATGTGAAGTACTCGTCTCCGATCTTCTCAATCTCGAACAAGCCACATCTGGTACCGACATCGGAGTCCTGGAGATCCTCTACTCTGTTGACGATGGTGGCACCGGTAGCGCGGGCTATTCTGTTGTTATCGGTCTTTCGAACTCGGCGGAGAGCTGTGATGTTGGCCTTCATGAAGTAGTGCTGGGCAAGATCTATGACAGAGATTAGTAAGCCATGCTCCTCACAAGTCATGAATTCAGAACGCACCAGACACTCCCTTCTCCGTAATGACAAGATCAGGCTTGACAGCGACAATAGCCTCGCACAAAGCCTTGACCTGCTCCTCCTCAATCTGCAGAATTCGGTTCCAGTCATCCTCCTTGGTAATCTCGATGTTGGTTTGAGACTCGCCCTTCTTGTACTCAAGGGGGCAGTCGAGGAGAACGATTCGGGGGTTCTCAATGCGCCGGCGCATCTTGGGATGTGTGATATCCTTGTTGAGCATAAGACCGTCAAGAACTCTACTGTCCTCGATCTCACCGCCAGGTACCTTCTCCACTCTGGCATATCGCTTGATGTCGACTTCAGTCTTGCCGTTGCCAGCCTCCCATGTCACAGTGCGGACAGCCTTGAGAGCGAGGTCGCACATCTGATCCATCCATCGAGAAACGAACTTGGTGCCAATTGAAGAAGAGATGAGCTGGTACATGGCCTTGTCATCGTTGACATCGATCGGCAGAGAGATCTCCTCGATGATCTCAAGGGCATCTTTGAGGGCTCGCTTGAAGGCGGAAATGATGACGACAGGGTGGATGTTACGGTCGAGCTGGGGAAGAGCTTGGGCGAGAATCTCACCAGCTGTTCAGATGATGTCAGTGAAATGCTCAATTAGCATTGCAGTACAGCCATGCTCTCTTACCCAGGATAATGACGGTTGTGGTTCCATCTCCAACTTCCTCATCTTGTGTCCGGCTGAGCTCAATCATGCTCTTCGCGGCAGGGTGGGAG